ACAATGTCAGGCATATAGAAAGCATGTGATAAATGTTAAAGATAGTGTGCAGTGATGCACATTATGAATTCATGTCTACAGAAATAGAAGCATTGCCAATTCTTTTGATAATGTGAGAACTCAAGGGAGCCATCATAATTACCAATATAAATGCAAGAACATGAATGAGTATGACAGTGTTTATCATGTTTAGGCATTAGCAAATCAAAAGATAATGAAAGTAATAATGAAGTAATTATTGGGAGCTTCGTTTCTCCCAAGCATGAGTAAACATCATCTTATTAGGCACATTTGCACCCAGGCTCCCCAACTCAGTGCTGTACTGGGTATCCTTCTGCAGTTAGGCGGAGAGCCATGCTTCTTTTCTCATGCAGGAAGTCTTGCTGTAAGATTGCTGCAGGCTGGCAATAGTGGTGATATTCACCACATATTTCTAGAAAGGCAGAAATTCTCAGATTGCAGATTCTGAGTACATTAGTATGTAATTAATCAGTATGAAGACGTGAGGAGAAACGTCATGCTGATAAATTAAGGTCTTTACTGCACTGTCAATATATTTAAATAAATAAAGATTCGGGAGGTAAATAATGACGACTATTTAAGATTCAAATGTCGTATGCAGTTGTTAAAACCACTGAAGTAGAGGATCCTCAGCATACTCACCCAATGAGTGACTTGGTGAATCTGCCTTCCGTCAGGGGAAATGGAAGCATTTTGACACAAAATGAGATAAATATAAGACATAGTTTACTCAATTACTTTTGCTTTTTGAGAACATATTTAGTGATACTTTTATTCATGCACAAAAGATTTAATGTTATTTTGTTAATAAGTTTGAGGTTATCTGAATAGGTCTGTCCCCCTTCCCATTGTTTGTCCATTTTATTTCCTGGGCAATTTATTTATTGTATCTCAGAAACTGGAAGTAAATGATAAAAGTGCTGCACTTTTTCAAAGATGTTTTATTGTCATAAAGTCATAACCATTTGAGAATTTATTTTATTTGGCGTGATGGCTTCACACCCAAGGGTTCGTGGTTTCATTTCAGAGACGGAGAACCAGAGGCCCCTTATCAAAGCGGTTGCAATGCTGTTGCTTATACCCTTACATGGTGGTAGTTAAATCATACTTGTATATAGTTTTAGTTTTATTTTTTTAATATTTAAGGATATTTAATCTTAACTTTTATTGTTCCTATAGAATTTTCATATAGGGGTTAATTTGCTCCTTGAAAAACAGTGTGGCCTTATTTGTAAACTTGTATTTTCGTACACTGACCCAGCAATTTCACTTTTTGATAATATGTCTAAGATATACTGCTGTACATGTGCGCCAGGAGATGTGCACAAGGACGGTCCCCATAGCACTGTCCCCAGGAAAAACCTGGGAACAACCCAAATACCCATCAATAGGGGAGCGGATAAACTGTGGTAAAGTCAGAATGGAATATTACACAGTGAATGAACTTATGACATGAACTGACAGCTTCTTGTGACAGTGTGAATGAAACAGCAATAACTTGTTTGCAGCAATAACTTTTTATAAGTTAAAGACATCTCAAACATAAATATACAGTCACAACGGAAGCAGGAGAATGATAAGCAAAGAAGTCAGGATGGTGTAAAAACACCATTTTAAACAAAGAAAACACACCCATAAAAACATCCAGACTCATTTGGATTAGTCACTTTAAAAAAGAAAAGACAAAATAAAGTAACATTTTCCTCATAGTTATTCATCTTCATAATATTTAGTATTAGAAATGGGTAGTCCTTAATTAGTTTATAATCACCTTCAAACTTAATTATTTTCCTTTCTTATTGCTAGTCAGGTAAATCTTGACTCTCCTAGTGAGATCATTGTGCACTGGGAAACAATACCATCAAAAGCAATGTACCGCATGGATTATCAAAGAATTTGAATATGAGTTTTCCTTTTTAAAAGTAATCTAATATGAACAAGTTCTAATATTGAGAAATTTATTTTACCTTAAAAATTATCTACTTTATTGGATCACATCGTGATCGGTAAGAAATAATCATTCTAATTATAAATGTGTTCTCCAGAACAAGACTGGACTTGGAGCGGCAAACACACAATACCGGGTACAGATGATGGCCTGTAAAATTGTGCACCTGAAACCTGTATAATTGTGTCAACCACTGTCACCCCAGTAAATTTAATTTAAAAAATTTAATTTGAAAAAATAATAGAATTGTTTTGGAGAACATCCTGACAAACATTGAAATCTACACATTTTTGACATTGCTGTTTTGCACAGTATCACTTTTTCCAACGTTCATAAAGAGGAAATGGGCACATATTAAAAGTCATTCGTCAAAACCTCAGTGTGTTCATAAAACCAAATCAATGGAGGTAAAATAAAGGAGTTATTATTACTCACATAGCATTTAGTATGTGTCAGCCATTCTGTTTTACGTACTTTACAACCGTAAATTCATTTAATCTCTATCACAACTCTATGAGATAGTTAACGTTAACATTTACAAAGAAGGAAACAAAATTTAGTAAAATGTCTAAAGTCACACAGGTAGAGTAGTTGCCCCATACTCGTGGGGAATATGTTCCAAGACCCCCAGTGGATGCCTGAAACTGCAGATAGTACCAAGCCCTGTGTATACTTTATTTTTCCCTATACACGCACTTATGGTAAAGTTTAATTTATAAATTAAGCACAGTAATATATTAACAATAGCGATAACTAATAATAAAATAGAACGACCATAACAGTACACTGTAATAAAAGTTTTGTGAGTGTGCTTTCTTTCTCTCCAGGAATACTTATATTTTTCCAGCCCAAACTTATTTCTGAATCTTTGTAATCATTCCTTGCTTGTAGTAAATGGCTTGATGTCACTTGTCTCAGGGGATTCCCTGCTAAAGTCTCTGTGTAGCCTCCCTGCTTTTTGGTGCAACATATTGTCCATTGGAACACGTTTGCTGTCTATTTTCTACCCACAAATTTAATGCCTTCTATATCTTAACTAAGCTCTTATTTTGCACTATGGCCATAACTTATGCAGTTTGATGTGTGACGGGGAAACTAGCGTTAATTCTTTTTCCCTTCTTTACAATTCAGGAATAAAAAATTAGTTCTTACCATAGATCTTTGCAACCTCAGCATAGGATTTTTCTGCTTTTCTTAAGTCAAGAACTTTCATCTTTTCACTTAACGGTAACACTTCATTGCTTCTTTTTGGCATATCCAAATCGCCAGCATTGTTACTCTTAAGTAAAGTAAGGGTGACATGAACACAAACACTGTGATGCCATGACAGTGGATCTGATAACCAGTGGCTACTAAGCGATCTAACTGGTGGGGAGCACCTGCAGCATGGAGATGCTGGACAAAGGGACAACTTACGTCCTGGGTGGGATGCAGTGTGTAGGCACAAGATTTCATCACACTCTCAGATAAGATCAAATTCAAGGAGTTCATCATCACCAAGCCCTTATTATATGAAATGTTAAAGGGACTTATCTAAGAAAAAGAAGTTAAAGAAACATGAACAGTGAAAGGACAACAAACTCACAGTTATTAACAACCACACCTAAAACGAAAGCAAACTAAAAGGACAGCTAGATCAGGAGTGGAAACATAGAAATGAAGATCTCAAGGAGGGTTAGCAACAGGGGAGTGGGAGAGGGAGAAGGGAGGAGAAGGTACAGAGAATAAGTAGCCATAGACGATAGGTAGAAAATAGATAGGGGGAGGGCAAGAATAGTATGGGAAATATAGAATCTAAAGAACTTGAGACACGTGTTCATGAACTAAAGGGGGGAAATGGTGGGGGAGGGGTGTGCAAGGTGGAGGGGAATGAAGGGGGGAATAGGGGAATAGAACAACTGTAATGGCATTATCAATAAAATATATTTTTAAAAAAAAGAAAAAAACTTAGGAATTGTTTGTTTCTGGAATTTTCCATCTAATACTGTGGGGCTGCAGTTGACTTCTGATAACTAAAACTGCACAAAGTAAAAGAGCAGGTAAGGAGGGACTTCTGTAGCAGGTGGCAGAACCAGGATCCTAATTCAGGAAGTGACTGCTGAGCCTGGTGGGTACCTCCTGCTCTGCAGCCACACAGTGGCACTTTATGTGACTTTCTGATTTTCACTTCCTGCAGTGACACCATTTCATGCACATATTTTGTAACGCTGACTAATCTTCTGTTGCGTCTCATTTACCTCACTTTTCTGTTTCTTATTCACTTGCCTGGGTCAGGCTGCTGACCTGTCTAAATGAAGCCAATGTGTATTAATTTTGACTGGATGGTTTTCATTCCCTTAGACATCTGTCTAAATGATAGACTGTGATTCTTCCCAAAGCAGCTTTATCATGTTTAAGTATTGGCAAAAACAATAAATCTTTGAGAATTGTGGGGAAACTTTGTAAGTCTGCCTTAAATTTTGGAACATTGTTAGATATTTGGGCTGTGTACAAGATTTTTAGGCTTTCGTATGAGATGCATCTCTCAAGTTCTAAACTCTGATGTTTTAGAGATTATAAAGCTATGTAGAAATCACAATTTTCCCATCAGTTTTCTTTGTATGCAGAATCCTGATCACTAAGTTTAGTGTCACTCTTGCTAACTGAGGAAGGTCTCTTATATCAAATTTTATTCAGATAAGAGATTTTTGTTTTTAACTAACTTACAGGCAAAAATCAAATGGAAAATTCCACTATGGATAAGAAACCTACTGTTATGTTGATTTGGGACAAGATAACAAAAAATGAATCCATTGTATTCAGATAATAAAGTTCATGATTTTCAGGATGTCCGAATGTTAGAAATTCTTTAACATTAAAAAAGTTAATGCATAAGGAGCATAGAAAAGGCAAAAATGCCTCTTTTTTGATAGCTTCTCTCATTCTTTAGGAATTTTTGTTTGAGTAAAGTGTTAGAATTTAATATAGCTGTGTACTTCGGTTATTGTTACTTTGAACTATCCCTGAGAACATTTTTTACTTTTCTTTTCAGATGACAGAGATGATGCTCAGGAGAGCAGCTTAAGAGACTTAATAAAAGAGCTTCCAGACACACACTACTGCCTCCTCAAGTACCTGTGCCAGTTCTTGACAAAAGTAGCCAAACACCATGTGCAGAATCGCATGAATGTTCGTAATCTCGCCACTGTATTTGGGCCCAATTGCTTTCAGTAAGTTACAGAGTTTTGCCTTAAATATTATCACATACTCCTTTTCTTTTTAGTACTGCCTGAGCTTACTAGAATGTAGTCATGTATTTCAGATTGAAAAGTCAACCAATTTATGTTGAAATTCCATGCTCTTTGACCTTTGTCTTGTTTTTTGTCCCAGTTTTGAAGAAAGCAAATACCTTCTTATGAAATCATCACTTTTTATATTTCAAACAAACTTATTTAAAATTCTGGAAATAAGTTTTACTTTTACCAAAAAGGGCATTAAAGAAATTTAATATGAGATTTTGATTAGCAAAAAGGGAAGGAATATGATATAGTCTACACTTTTCTTAATAATGATAAATTTTAAAACATTGCTCCTGGATGGAAAATTGTAAGCAGAATATGTCAGTGATGGGAAAAAATGTAACCTCAGCAACATTTATTTATTTTCTAGGGATAAACTAGACTAGAAATAAGCTAGTTCTGTAGTAAGTGCTATATCACAGGAACTTTTGTAAAGCTTTAAATTTTATTTTCCCTGTTATTACTTAAAGCTTTTTAATGTATAACACATGATCCTGCAATTCAGGAACTTTGCTTTTAACTTTCCCATTAATCTTCACTGGTATCAAATGCATACTTCAAGTTGTAAAGAGAGAGAAAGAGAGTACACTCACTTTATTTGTTTTAAAGACTTTATTTATTTGTTTTTATGGGGGGGAGGAGAAAGAGAGAGAGAGAAACATCAACCTGGGGTTGCCTCTCAATACCCCCACACTGGGGACCTGGCCGGCCACCCAGGCATGTGCCCTGACTGGGGATCAAACCACTGTCCCTTTGGTTTGCAGGCTGGCCCTCAATCCACTGAGCCATACCAGTCAGGGCACAGTTTAAAAGCTCTCAAAAATTCTCAGAAAGGTGTTTTTTTTTTCAATAGTGTATCTGCTTGGAGTGACCTAGTAGGTCACTCCATTAACCTACTGACCCATGCAACTACCTAGAGCTAGTAATTTTACAGTCCCAAGAATGACTATTTTAATACAGACTCTGGCCTACAGCCTAGTGGCTGCAGGGTTCCAGGACATCTGCAGCCACTTGGGGAGAAGTTCCACCTCAGTAATAATCCCCGTTGTAACCTCAGAGATTGAAATTTCAAATAATGCCATTTCATAGGGTATGTTAGGATCTCATGAATAAAAATTTTAAACACAGACTCCATTAATTTCCTCTTATTCAGGAGCTTTGTGGTAGTAAAAAAGCTCTATTTCTTTTTACTTCTATCTGCAGAGTCACTTTTTTATGAGCATCCTGATCACCAGTGCTTTGAACTGTGCATCTGATAGGTTGGCTATCTCTTGGTTACTTAGATGTATTGGCTCTGGGGCTTTGATCTGTTCTTTCATTTGGGCCATTTTTTTTTGTCTTGTCATACCAGTTACGTAGTGAGGGGTGGAACCTTAGGTTTTCACCATGGCAAGGCAACCCAGCCTCTGGGTTGTGACTCAGTATGTGGGGGTGGGGTGAGAGAGAGAACAGTGGTGCTTGCTCTGCTCTCTGCTGGCTTTCAGTCACTTCCTCCGCTTCCCCCAAGCAAATTGGGCCCTTCTGTTGCTGATTCCCGGGTGGGTGGGTTTGTGTACCTTCCAGCACCCTGTGGGTCTCTCTAATGAACTCTCCTATGAGGCTGGGAGTCTGTCCCAGCACCTCAACCCCTGCAAGTGTTTTCAGTGGGTGCTTTTAGGCTTTATTTCCCTGCGCTGGGGCCCTGGGTTGTGAGGTCTGTCTTGCTGCCTGTTTTCACCTGTTTTATCTGCATGTGAATGTGTGACTGAAGTCAGCCAGCTGCCTTGAGTGCCTCACTGGGTCTGCTGGCCACCACCTGCATGCCAGTGTCTGCCAGCCACCACTTTGTCCTGCCACGTTCCCTCTCTGCCGGCCACCAACTCCACCCGTCTTACCGGTCTAGATGAGTGGTTGTTGGACTTCTGTACAGTTCAATTTTATGTCAGTTCTGGGTGCCTTTTTGTTTCTAAATTTTTGTTGTCGAAGAAGCGCAGTGTGTCTACCTATGCCTCCATCTTGGCCAGAAGTCCTCCCTTCCCTTTTTATCTTAGTGTCATGAGCTGTGTCCTTCCACTTCTCTTTCAGGATTTTCCTCGATAATTATGTGCATATGTTCTCTCAGAACTTCAGAATATTTTCCTAGTTTTAAAATTTCCATTTAAGTTAAGATTCATCAGGTATAGTTGAAATATTTAATATTGAGTCATTTGTTTAGTAAAATGACAAGTCATCCCATTTAATCCAATTTTTACTTACATATTTTTGTTTCATAAAATTGTAGAGGCTTGAAAAAATATGGAAAATTAATGAAAATTATCTACTAATTTTATTACTTAGAAATAATAACTTTAAATTTTTAACTATTTCCTTTTAGCCTTCTCTCAGGTATATATTCTTTTTTTAAATTTTATCAAGATTATATTTTATATACTTTTCTTATCCCACTTTTTAATGAAAGGTTAAATTTAGATAATTTTCTTTGGTTTATATCATTTTTTATTTGTTGTTTTAAATCCTTCAGTTTGCATCATTTTTTGTCTGCTCAAAACCAGAACATTTTATTGTATATATCAGATTCTGTGTGTATACAACAAGAATATTATTCAGTCATCTAATTCTCATGGTGAACCCAAAAACATAGTTGGTACTGTTATATTTTTATATATACAAAAATGAAGTGTACAAGCGTCCATTTTTAAGATTACAGAGCTAAAATAGAACCAACACCATTAATTTTGGTCTGTTCCGATTGAAATTTTGAACTAGGCAAGAGAATAATCAATTGTTTTTTAGAGAGAAGAAAAACAGATTGGCATGGATTTCCACATTATTATTGTCCCTTAGTCAGATGGGTAGCAGTATTAGCTTGAACCATATAAAACTGACATTTTTCTAGTTCTAAATGACCAAATATTGTAATTTTTTATAGTTCAATGTAGTAGTATACTCGAGTCCATCATTCCTATATCAGCTAAGAATGTGTGTGAATCACAAGAAATTGAATGTATAAGATGATATCACAAATTCTCCATTAGATGTCCACTTATTTTTTTCCAGTAATCATGGGGATTTGTAATTTTGCGTGAGCCACACATAGCATTTCTCTCAATATTCTGTGTGAAGGGTAAATTTATTATTCTGGTTAGTGGTGGTAATTGTACTTCAAGCCTTGGTTTTTCAAACAAAAATAATCAGAAAGGATGCTTTTTGACCTTGGTCTCATTCAAGAAGTGGCAGTAGATCTTCAGGTGGTTTCTCAGCAAATTGACTGATTACTTTTTTGTAATATGAAATTAGTGACAAATAGTATTGAATAATATACAGTGTGATTTATATTTTTTCTATGTGAAATAATCAAGAGGAGCAGTGATTTTTTTCCTAGCAACCTTAGGTCAGTGCATTTTAGGTGAGTGTTTGTGTGAGGAAGGACCAAGTATAGCTGTTTCACAGGTCTTTTTACCCTATCAGTGTGAGGCAATGTTTTTAAAGTTTGCAAACTCTTCTCTGGAATTACCTCCCTAGAGAATAACCAGGCTTAGTAGTTGAACATTGCTGACTGGGGCCAGAGTCAAAGATTTCTTATCCTTCAAAAAAATAACCCCTGGAGTCCATCAGTCTCTGTGGGAATGCAGTGATTAAGCAATAACATCTGCCTGGCAGTTAATGATCATCTGCAGAAATATACAGTCCGGCATAAATTCAAGGATCTTTACATCAGTTGGTTATTTATTAAAGGCAAACACCCAACCAGAAAACATCAACACTAGTCTATTGAGTAATAATTTTAAATGAAATTGCATATTTCCTGTCACACATACTTTCACAGGACTTCTACATTCATGATTTTGTTTATTCCTTATATCAATCTTAGGAAGAGAGAAAGCTCCATTAGGGTGGCGGATGGGTGTGTGTTGATGATTGGCCACAGCTATCAGTGCATCACTGGTAAGCAAGAAGACTCAGGATAGGATGTTTTTCTACTCTTGGTCTGCTCTGTTTTCCACTAGGTCACATGCTTTCCCAAGATGTTATTATATGCTGCATTGTACTCCAGTCGTGCAAAGAGCAGTGTTTTTTTTCCTGGCAGTCATGAGTTATTTGTGGGATTAGTTGACCATCATTGTAACTTTGCCCATGTGTGTATAGTCAGTTACAGTATAACTTTTAAACAGTGAAGAAAGCAGTTAAAATGAATACTACTTCCTTTTGGTGGTAAAAAAAATAATAACCAAATACAGATTTTTACAGTTCTGCTTTTCTCATTTTTCATACCTATAAAAGAAAATTCAAGTGAAAGCAAAATCAATTTACTGATGCAATGTGATTGCTCTCTTTAAGACTTCGAAATAAGTAGAGCTATATGTGTTGCTCAAGCGTAACCTTGAAGATTGCTGTTGACCTTTTAAACTCTTTACATCATCATCCAGTAATGACAAGTGGCAAAAAAATGTAAATATATACACTGAGGCATGTGTTTTAGCTGTTGACAAAAATCCAGTGACAAATTTATATTCTGAACATTATTGTGGGAGTGTGTATGTACACTTACATAATCTCCAGAATTATCTTACACCTCCTCACCGCCTTCTACATAAACAGTCTTTTTTCTTCTTCCATGAAGTTACTTTAGAGACTCAGTCTTGGAGAAGCATAATTCTACTTCCTCCTCTGTTATTAAGCAGCTCCGTGTACTTTAGGAAGTCATTTAATTTTTCTAACCCTCTATTTGCTATTAGATGATGTACGAATTCCTTTTCAGCATCTAGATTTCACGTGATTTTAGTTTTTTATAATTTGTATTTATTAATTCATTTGGTACACGCTATATGCCAGGAGTCAGTGTGCCAGATGTTAGCCCAACAACACGGTTCATACCCTTAGGGAGCTCATACTCTGTAGGGATAAGAGGGAAATTCCTCAAATAATTACTCAATGACAGTTGTTGCAGTAGA